TCCACGTCGAAAGTTGTAGAAAATAATCGCGCAACAATGCCCATGGTTCAACTCCATAACTCGGCCGAAACAAAATCTTATAACTTAGTGTAAACAACACAAACCGCGCTCAAATTTTGCAAACTCAAACTTTACGATAGTGGTGTCAGTTGCTAGATTGCTACACTAGTGTTTCCAAATCCCGAAATATAAAAGGCAACCCTCTAATCTAATACAGATAGTTTGCTCTAATGACGATTGGCGATACTGTGGCGCGCTTCGATTCTATCGACGCCGCCAGTTAGAACATGGCACCAAGGTAGCGCAATGAACATCACCTCGCGATCTCGACACAGAGTTACAGTATCACGGAAAGGTTCTACGGACTTAACAACTGACTTCATATTCAAATGACGCTTCATGTTCACAATTGAAAATGATTGAAGACATTTGAAAAGGATATATGCACGCACATGTGCAACAAAAACATTTTTTTTAGAAAATCCTCATCTCCTGGAGGAAACAGACGAAGACTGGTTTTGGGGAGGGTGGGGGGAGGCTTCGTTCCACGTGGCTGCCCTAGGCTCGACGGGCGTGCGGACCGGACGTTCTCAGGTATTAGCTCTGCAGAAGGTCGTCAAATTTCCGAAATTACTTAGAAATAACTTACATTATGTGAGGAAAGGATATATGCGCCTCCTATCCATTCAAAAATTAAGCATAGAGACTGACAAAATGACAGTAACGAAAGCAGTAACCCTGAAAAGAAGAGAAGAGAAAGATCTCTGTAAAGTTCCCTATATCGAATTCGCCATGCTACTCAATTTAAGCTCAAAATTTATTTAATAGGCCTTCTTGGCAGCTCAATCTTAATCTTTGCTGAGATGGCTTTGCCAGTATTTTCCCACAAAGCAGAACAGGAGTTTTCATCTTTACAATAACTTTTTTTAGCAGTCCCATCTCTACATACACATAGTTTAGATGCATAAATAAACTGAGTCTTACCGTATTTTGATCTTAACTTCGAGTTGCGAATATGTATAACTATGAGGCTAACATTGCCATATAGTCCAAACACAGTGAAAATGACCACTCCAGTGAATATCACAATTCGATGTATGTTATAGTCAACAACGGCAGTATTGTTTTCCATCCCGACTGACAAAACTGCTGGCACAAAAGCCTGGAAATCAAATTATTCAGCAATTATTTCTAGTGTTAACAATATCGAATTCATAGGCAATATGTATTATGAAAAAGCAGTGAAGGAGAAAAAAGCCGATGAATCGGTAAAAGAAAATATCCGCTGAGGGAAACTTCCAAGGAAAACAACAAGCTCTTCTCATTGTAGCCTTATAGAGATTTTTGGATGTTGTCTCCTTCACATTGTGCTGCAAAGCATCTATTTTGATTGATAATGAAAAGAAAGCGGTCGATGTATATACGGTTTTTTGGAATTGCTGAATCCGTGCTCCTCAGAGCAAGACCGATAGTAGCGCTACACTTGTTCGGGCACTTCCCTCGAACTGCATATTCATCGAAACTCAGAGAACCGCACTTTTTTCATATTCTCGGCCTATCCCCTACCCAACACAGCTTAGCCCTTTTTATTCCCTACCCAGGATAGCTTAAGGGATTAAAGCCGTCAGAATGCAACATTTCTCAGAGAATTTCTGCTGATGTAGCCTACGGTAAGAGGATCCCATTCCCCATAAGTAATACTGATAGTTGATAAGATTGGTTCTGATAGTTTATGATCACAACCGCGACTGTTTTGTTTTTTATTTATTCACCCCTTTGCCAAAAGTTACTACTGAATAGTAGTCTTCTCCTGACCCTTTTTCCTCCTATTCTCCTTCCCCATCGTGTAGTGCTTATATGATACCAAAGGATTTATCCAAAGGAAAAGTTTGGCAATCGGAATGATTTCTCGATTTTTTTCTAGGAAAGAATCTTTAGTGTGGTCTTGACGACGAAGAAGATATATCCGGAACGTTGACCTAGCGGAGCGCTTCTACTATAAATGACCTATCTGTTCGGCAAAGCAGTACAAAAAATGCTCTTATGTCCAGGCTTCAAGAAGACCGAACTTTCGATAACTGA